CCGTAATTCTATCCTCCTGATTCCTGCTTACAAGCAAAAACTACAGTAGGAAGTGCCAGTGACTCGCTCAATACGGAAGTGGTCAGATGACGCGGATGCTACGCTACAGGACTGTTTTGCTAGCACAGACTGGAATATGGTCCGGGATTCATCCAATGGCATTGAGGAGTATACCACCTCAGTCACCGGCTTCATCAATAAGTGCATCGACGACATCGTCCCCACAGTGACCGTACATACATTTCCCCACCAGAAGCCATGGACTACAGGCAACATCTGCACTGAGCTAAAGGCTAGAGCTGCTGCTTTCAAGGAGCGGGACACTAATCCGGACGATTATAAGAAATCCTGCTACGCCATCAGACGAACCATCAAACAGGCAAAGCGTCAATACAGGATTAAGAATGAATCCTACAACACCGGCTCTGATGCTCCTCGGATGTGGCAGGGCTTGAAAACTATTAAAGACTACAAAGGGAAACCCAGCCGTGAGCTTCCCAGTGACGCGAGCCTACCAGACGAGCTAAATGCCTTTTATACTCGCTTCGAGGCAAGCAACACTGAAGCATGCATGAGAGCACCAGCTGTTCTGGACGACTGTGTGATCACGCTCTCGGTAGCCGATGTGAGCAAGACCTTTAAACAGGTCAACATTCACAAAGCCGTGGGGCCAGACGGATTACCAGGATGTGTATTTAACCCTCCCGTTGTCCTGGTATTCTGTACACACGCTGTGCCCTCCGGGTCGAACTGTCCCCCTCTCACTAAAGGCCCAATTGGAACATGTGGGACAGTATGCGTGTGAACAGCCTTTGCAGATGTATTTGTTACACCTGGTGCACACCGTGTGTGTTTTACAGTCCTTCTTTGTGGGACAGACCTGACACCTCTTCCTCTTACTGGGTTGTGCGGGGTTGGGTGCTTGGGCCGGTGCGTGGTCCGGTGCTGCGGGGGCGTGATCCCACCGGGGCTGATCACGATACGTAGCCCTCTGAACAGCTTTGACGAGCGCCGCAGAGGCTTCGGTGCGAGGGAGACGGGCCCTTCTTTGTATGAACGAAGTCACTAGTGCCTTTCCCAGCTGCTCGAGGAACACCCTCCTCTTGTTTCGCTTACCAGGCATCCAAGTAGGGTTGAGCTCTCGCCATATGACAAAAGTGTTGTAAGAGGACACGTCAAGGATGTTGTGGAAGATGACCAGGGGCCAGCGCGCGGTCATCCTCCTGCAGCTGTAGGTTCCAATCACCTTGTCTAGGTTGTCCACACCTCCCTTGTTGCTGTTGTAGTCTAGGACGATGGCCAGCTTCTTGTCCTGGCGACGGCTAACGAGAGCCTCGGTGTGCAGCGTGCTCAGGAGTAAGACGTTCTTGTTTTTCTTTGGCAGGTAGGACACTAGAGCGGTGGTGGGCGTGAAGGCGAACTTGGAGGAGAAGAGGAGCCTGTCCTTTGAGGCGAGCAGCACCTGCGGGAGCTCTGGCTTGTTCTTTCTGACTGTGCCGACCACGGTGACGTTCCTCCTCAGGAGCTGGCGCGTGAGCTCGTATGAGGTGAAGAAATTGTCGCAGGTGACGTTGTGACCCCTGAGTCCCTGCGTCAAATCGAGCACGACCCTCATCCCCTGGTTCTTCTCGGGGCCTCCGCATGTGGCCTTCCCGGTGTAGACCTGCATCTTCCAGGCGTAGCTGGATTTGGAGTCGCAGGCCACCCAGGTCTTGATGCCGTATTTGGCCGGCTTGCTTGGAATATACTGGCGGAAAGGACATCGGCCTGGGGGAGAGAGAGAGAGAGAGAGAGAGAGAGAGAGAGAGAGAGAGGAAGGAAAGAGAAGAGATTAGCTTTAGCGTGTTGTGTTGTGTTGTGTTGTGTTGTGTTGTGTACAGTGTTGTTGTGCTCTTGTACGGTGTTGTTGGCCCGGCACACCTCTGAAAGGGACCAGTTGCTCGTCCACCATCACGTCGGGCCCAGGGTTGTAGAGGAGCGGCAGCCTCTCGACCCACTTGTCCCAGACCTCTCTCACGGCCGCAAGTTTGTCACCGCCGCCTGCTGCGCATCTCTCGGCTCTGGTCTGGCGGTCGTCGAAGTGAAGGAGTCTCGAGTAAGCGTGAAAGACTTTGAGCGGCATGGTTGCGCGGAAAATGGTCCTTCCGCTCTCGGCGTCCCAGAGACTAGAGGCTGCTTCGCCTCAGGACCTGTACACGCCGGCTAGGATGAGCAGCCCTACGTAGGCTCGCAGGTCTGTGGAGTCCATTGCTTTTCAGCGGCCGCCGCGGTCGCGGTCGTGGTCTTCGTGGTCGTCGGCGTAGTGGCGGTGGTCGTCGTCGCCGCCGCCGCCGCAGCCGTCGCCGTCGCCTCGGGCTCCGTATTTTCGAACGCCCTCCAGATTGGTCATCTCCAGGATGATGTCTTCTATCTCGGGTGTGAAAAACAAGCGGAACGTGGAGAGGATGTCGCGGGCTTGGCCTACGGCCTGCCTAGTAGGCCCGGTTCTCATGTCCTCCGGCACCTCAGCAACCGGCCTGTTACTTTTTGCCGCTGCGGCGGCACCTCCGACGCCCCGATTGTTGTCACAGGGCACCGAGCACCATTGGATTTGGCCCTTTCTCGACTCGAATGTCTCTCTTTCCACTCGAGGGATATCGTGTTGTGTTCGGGGGCTGAGGCTGCGGCGGCAGCTGCGGCAACAGCTGCTGCGGTCTCCTCGCTCTCCTTCACCTTCACCTTCCCCTTGTTCTTCTCCTTGTTCTTCTTCTTCTTGTTGGTCGTCGTCGTCGTCGTTGTGGTCGTCATCATTGTCGTCGTCGTCGTCATCGTCTCGTTCGTCTTCTACGCCTTGACCTTCTTCTACTTGGACATCGTCCTCGTCGTCGGCGGCGTCTGCGGCTGCGGTGTCGTAGTCGTCGTCCTCTGTGGTCTCCTCGTCCTCTGGGTTGCATTCCTCCCCGTCTTCTTCTTCGGACGCTTCCTCGTCCTCTTCCTCGTCGCAGTCAGAGTCATTGGAAAATATATGTTCTAGGACCTGTTTGGCCGTGAAACGCACAGCACTCATAATAGCTTCGGCACCCAGGCAGGGGAAGTCCCCAAGACCTCTCTCTTCGGGACGTGTCTGGACATGCCACGGAGGCAATATTAGTAGTAGTAGTAGTAGTAGTAGTAGTAGTAGTAGTAGTAGTAGTAGTAGTAGTAGTAGTAGTAGTAGTAGTCGTACGGTAGTAGTAGTAGTAGTAGTAGTTAGTAGTTCAGTAGTCGTAGTCGTAGTCAGTAGTCGTCCGTTTAGTGTTCTTGTGTTGGGTTTGTTTACGGCTTCCTAGTCTCTGGCTCAGAGCTTGCTGTAAGTGTCGCCTGGTCGTTTTGACCCGGGTGGACAATACGCGACGCTCTGGGTTTACGCCACTCACTCTAACACTCTACACGTAGCCTGGTCTTTTTGGACCGGTTTCATGACAGCGGGAGGGGATAACGCCACTAGCTCAACCATAGGCACTGACACGTAGCCTGGGTCTTTTTGAACCCGGACAAGACAGGACAAGCAGGGGTATACAGCCACTCGCTCTAATCTCTACGAGCCTGGTCTTTTTGACACCGGACAGGAAGCGGGAGGGATATACAGCCACTAGCTCTAACACTAGGCTCTAACACGTAGCCTGGTCTTTTGACCGGTCAGGACAGCAGGAGGAGATATATAGCCGTAGCCTGGGTCGTTTTGACCCCGGGCAGGACAAGACAGGACAACGCTAGGGGTTATACAGCCACTCACTCTAACACTCTAACACGTAGCCTGGGTCTTTTTGACCCGGTCATGACAGCGGGAGGGGATATACAGCCACTAGCTCTAACACATAGGCACTGACACGTAGCCTGGGTCTTTTTGAACCCGGACAAGACAGGACAACGCTAGGGGTTATACAGCCACTCGCTCTAATACTCTGACACGTAGCCTGGGTCTTTTTGACACCGGACAGGATAGCGGGAGGGGATATACAGCCACTAGCTCTAACACCTAGGCTCTAACACGTAGCCTGGGTCTTTTTGACCCGGTCAGGACAGCAGGAGGAGATATATAGCCACTCGCTCTAACACCTAGGCTCTAACACGTAGCCTGGGTCGTTTTGACCCCGGGCAGGACAAGACAGGACAACGCTAGGGGTTATAGAGCAACTCGCTCTAACACCTAGGCTCTAACATGTAGCCTGTGTCTTTTTGACCCGGTCAGGACATCGGGAGGGGATATACAGCCACTAGCTCTAACACCTAGGCTCTGACACGTAGCCTGGGTCCTTTTGACCCGGACAGGACAGGACAGGACAACGCTAGGGGTTATACAGCCACTAGCTCAAACACATAGGCACTAACACGTAGCCTGGGTCTTTTTGACCCCGGAAAGGACAACGGGAGGGGTTATACAGCCACTAGCTCTAACACGTAGGCTCTAACACGTAGCCTGGGTCGTTTTGACCCCAGCCAGGACAGGACTGGACTGGACAACGCTAGGGGTTATACAGCCACTCACTCTGACACGTAGCCTGGGTCTTTTTTTTTGACCCGGACAGGACAACGGGAGGGTTAATTTCTCCCAAACCCACAGAGACACTTTCTGGACTAGCTGTATCGCACTCAAGGAATGGCGTGGAACGCAAACTCATGATTGCCGACATGTCAGAATAGCGACGATGTGTGTCGAAGGAATAGAACATGGGCAGCACAGAATAGGTTTTGAATCGAATAACTTGATGTCTGTCTACGTAGACACCACGATTGCTTGTATGTAGCCGAAACCATGATCTATGTTTACAACAAATTTCAACTACTATTAAAAATGTCATGTTTTAATACTAATCACAAAGATATACTTTGACAAAACATTAACAAATAAATAAATGAATATAATAAAATTAATTATTTTTATGGGAGTGGTCATTGAATCCACAATATACCAGAGAAGCTTCTGAGCACTGCATCAAAACAGGTTCGTGTCTCACAGACAAACAACATCGATCGAAGCTATGTCGACTTTCCAGAACACAGAAAACGTGAAGGGGGATTCTTGCTGCATCACTGCAGTGTTTGACATACACACGTCGGACTCCAGTCACGTAACTACTACCGACAACACCACCGTCGTCACTGTGATCGGTCTGGCCATCGGAGGGTCGACTCGACTGAATCTGAGCACCATCAACTTCAACGACATCTATTCTGCGTTCAATCGAGTAGTGAAGAACATACCCATACTTCTCGGGTACACGGTGAAAAGCCTCTCGGTCATGCCCAACAACAAACTGGAGGTAAGACTATTTGTCGAACCGAAATATAGTCTGTTGAGTTATGAGTTGTGGCTCGTTCGGGTCGTAGGACAGGCTCTGCTCTTGTGGTTTTACCACGGTGCAGTGTCACACATCATGGTGACACACCAGGACCATTTGCAGAAGATACACCGTGAAGCTGTGGGATGGTGTCCCTGTGCAATGTTGACCGGTTTCGACGACAGCGAGTCTTGTACTTGTGCTTTGTACTACGACATGTGGGACATGGACGTTCGTCACAGCCACGTCCGAGACCATTTGTTGACATATCGGACATATCGGCAAATGCCATGCGATATCTCTTTCGTGTGTAGCGGTGTCCACATGACAGATCTCTCAGATGACGAACAGACACTTCTGATGAAGAAAGTCGCCTGGATATTTCAAGGCTTTTCTGTTGCCCCCAAACAAGACGCCATGACGGGGATCCGTTCGAGCCTAGGCATACCTTGTGATTTCACGAAAACCGAAAATATTGTACCGCAAGTATACAAGTTGACAGACTGTCAGAATGAAACACGTGCGGAGATGTACAATTGTCAGCAAGCCGAAGACCAGATGACATATAGTCACTTGTTGAGGAAATGGACATCTTGGGTTTCGGCAATTGTCGAGTAGTGACACACACCTACAATATTACAAGGAAATCGCCAGATTCTTTAGAAAGTAAGCATTTCACTGTAATGTCTGTACCTACAATGTGACCAATAAAATGTGATTTGATTTGATTTGCAAGGGTCCCGTTCACAGCACACACTCGCTCTAACACTCTAACACGTAGCCTGGGTCGTTTTGACCCCAGCCAGGACAGGAGAGGACAACGCTAGGGGTCATACAGCCACTCGCTCTAACACATAGGCACTGACACGTAGCCTGGGTCTTTTTGACCCAGGACAGGACAGCAGGAGGAGATATACAGCCACTCGCTCTAACACATAGACACTGACACGTAGCCTGGGTCGTTTGACCAGGACAAGAAAGGACAGGACAGCGGGAGGAGATATACAGCCACTCGCTCTAACACATAGGCACTGACACATAGCCTGGGTCTTTTTGACCCCGGAAAGGACAGCGGGAGGAGATATACAGCCACTAGCTCTAATATATAGGCACTGACACGTAGCCTGGGTCTTTTTGACCCGGACAGGACAGCGGGACGGGATATACAGCCATTCACTCTAACACGTAGCCTGGGTCTTTTTGACCCGGACAGGACAACGGGAATGTTATAGAATGTGCGGACCAACTGACAAATGTCTTCACTGACATTTTCAACCTCTCCCTGACCGAGTCTGTAATACAGTAGCTTGCGAAAGTATTCACCCCCCTTGGCATTTTTCCTATTTTGTTGCCTTACCACCTGGAATTAAAATGGATTTTTTGGGGGGAGTTGTATCATTTGATTTACACGACATGCCTACCACTTTGAAGATGCAAAATATTTTTTGGGGTGAAACGAACAAGAAATAAGACAAAAAAAAAAAGAACTTCAGCGTGCATAACTATTCACCCCACCAAAGTCAATACTTTGTAGAGCCAACTTTTGCAGCAATTACAGCTGCAAGTATCTTTGATTTTTTGTATAACCCAACCCTGATCTGTACTTCTCCACAACTTTGTCCCTGATCTGTTTGGACAGCTCCTTGGTCTTCATGGTGCCGGTGCTTGGTGGTGCCCCTTGCTTAGTGTTGTTGCAGACTCTGGGGCCTTTCAGAACAGGTGTATATATACTGAGATCATGTAACAGATCATGTGACACTTAGATTGCACACAGGTGGACTTTATTTAACTAATTATGTGACTTCTGAAGGTAATTGGTTGCACCAGATCTTATTTAGGGGCTTCAAAGAAAAGGGGGTGCATGCACCACTTTTCTGTTATTATGTTTTTCATTTCACTTCACCAATTTGGACTATTTTGTGTATGTCCATTACATGAAATCCAAATAAAAATCCATTTAAATTACAGGTTGTAATGCAACAAAAAAGGAAAAACGCCAAAGTGGATGAATACTTTTGCAAGGCACTTACCTACATGTTTCAAATAGAACACCATAGTCCTTGTCCCCAAGGAAGTGAAGGTAACCTGCCTAAATGATTACCGCCCGATAGCACTCACGTCGGTAGCCATGAAGTGCTTTGAATGGATGGTTATGGCTCACATCAACACCATCATCCCAGAAACCCTAGACACACTCCAATTCGCATACCGTCCCAACAGATCCAAAGATGACGCAATCTCAATCGCACTCCACACTGCCCTTTCCCACCTGGACAAAAGGAACACCTACGTGAGAATGCTGTTCATTGACTACAGTTCAGGTTCAACACAATATTGCCCACAAAGCTCATCACTAAGCTAAGGACCCTGGGACTAAACATCTCCCTCTGCAACTGGATCCTGGACTTCCTGACGGGCCGCCCCCAGGTGGTAAGGCTAGGCAACAACACACCTGCCACGCTGATCCTCAGGGGTGCGTGCTTAGTCCCCTCCTCTACTCCCTGTTTGAGCCAAACACGACTCAAACACCATCATTAAGTTTGCTGACGACAGAACAGTGGTAGGCCTGATCACCGACAACGATGAGACAGCCTATAGGGAGGAGGTCAGAGACCTGGCAGTGTGGTGCCAGGATAGCAACCTCTCCCTCAATGTGAGCATGACAAAGGAGCTGATCGTGGACTACAGGAAAAGACGGGCCGAACAGGCCCCCATTAACATCTATGGGGCTATAGTGGAGCGGGTCGAGAGTTTCAAATTCCTTGATGTCCACATAACAAACAAACTATCATGGTCCAAACACACCAAGACAGTCGTGAAGAGTAAATCTTTTCTTAACTCTTTCTTGATAGGAGAGGGCCTAGAACTGAGCCCTGGGGGACACCAGTGGTGAGAGCACGTGGTGCGGAGACAGATTCTCGCCACGCCACCTGGTAGGAGCGACCTGTCAGGCAGGACGCAATCCAAGAGTGAGCAGCGCCGGAGATGCCCAACTAAGAGAGGGTGGAGAGGAGGATCTGATGGTTCACAGTATCAAAGGCAGCGGATAGGTGTAGAAGGATAAGAGCAGAGGAGAGAGAGTTAGCTTTAGCAGTGTGGAGAGCCTCTGTGACAGAGAAGAGCAGTCTCAGATGAATGACCAGTCTTGAAACCTGACTGGTTTGGAACAAGAAGGTCATTCTGAGAGAGATAGCAGGAGAGTTGGCTAGAGACAGCACGCTCAAGGGTTTTGGAGAGAAAAGAAAGAAGGGATACTGGTCTGTAGTTGTTGACATCGGAGGGATCGAGTGTAGGTTTTTTGAAGAGGGGTGCAACTCTCACTCTCTTGAAGATGGAAGGGACATGGCCAGTGGTCAAGGATGAGTTGATGAGCGAGGTGAGGTAAGGGAGATGGTCTCCGGAAATGGTCTGGAGAAGAGAGGAGGGGATAGGGTCAAGTGGGCAGGTTGTTGGGCGGCCGGCCGTCACAAGTCCAATCCCTTTGATGTGGAGAGGCACACTGAAAACCTCCATCAAGGAGCATGGCAATTCCAAGCATGTCTGTCGTTGACAGTCCAAGACCTGCAGTCCTAGACCTGTGACGCTCATGTTGAAGCAGACTGCACAGGTCTACATAACATTGTATATATGCTCTCTGGCTAGTATTATGCTTATTATGCTAGCTAGTATTATGCTCATTATGCTAGCTAGCATTGTGCTCATTATACTAGCTAGCATTATGCTCATTATGCTAGCTAGCACTATGCTCATCACATAGCAGTGATTGCCTCACTTCCATGTGTTCAGGTTGTTTCAACTGTTCTACAAATTAATAATAGTGCTATGCATGAAAATCTACGGTGGAAAGTATTCAGACCCCTTGACTTTTTCCCCATTTTGTTAAGTTACAGCCTTATTCAAAAATTGATAAAATCGTTTTTTTTCCCTCATAATCTACACACAATGCCCCATAATGTCATAGCAAAAACTGTTTATTTTTTATTTTTTAACTAATTTAAAACAAATATAAAACTCAGTACTTTGTTGAAGTACCTTTGCCAGCGTTTACGGCCTCGAGTCTTCTTGGGTATGATGCTCAAGCTTGAAGGTAGAAACCACATTTGTTTAAGCATGTCAGCCATATCAGCTGTGTTTTTTAAAAAGGCAGAAAATGAGGCTGAATTAACTGTTTTGCTGCCAGACAAAGCTCCGCTGATAGCCAGGTGTAGAAGTGGTAAGGATTCACTCCATGTTGCTGAAAAGAAAGCTCTGCTATTGGGACAGCTTTATGTAGGCCCTAACAGTTTGTGGGCACCGTTTGTCACCGTTATAGTGCAATTAATGTATTGTTTAGTGTTGTGTTATGTTGTGTAGCGGCTTTGCTGGCATGCATCTAAAACAAAATGTTGAGTTTGCCCCAGCAAGATTTACATGCTAAAATCTACACTGCACGTGCTTATGGATTTAGAGCGATATCTAGATGCAAATTGTCTATGTCTATTATTCAAGAAGGATTGATCAAGCCTTCATATGTAAATAGATGAATGACTGGCAGAGTGTATTACAAAAATTACTTTCATTTCAATTAAATATCTACATGCTCATGTGTACCACAGGGATATGCACAGAAGTCAGGCATTGTTGTTTCATTGTACAAATGCAATATACTATCCATAAACACACAATGAAGATGTCAGAAGGCGAAAACACTTATTTTAGTCCAAATGGACTTTCCATTGTCTTTAGACTGAGCTGTAATTTAAAACTTTACACAAATCTGAGGCTACTTATCTGTTGTCCTGAATGCCCTGCTAGGTTAAGAGCTGGACAGGAAGGACAATGAGAAATGGCTTCATTCTTTAATGCAGTCAGTAACACTGTGATCAATCTATCTGGCAGTCTGTCTAGCAGTCTGTCTGACTCACTTTGCCTCTTCATCCTGAGAATAGTTCTCGCTACCCTCGTTGTAGCGATAAAAGCACATAAAATGCAGCCATTTGGTGCAGTGTCACTAAATGTGTCCGGAAAAGCCACACACCAGACACATTCCCTCTAGTCTTCTCAACCTTTTATACAGAGCATCATGAGACATGATTGCCAGCTCCAATGTTCCCGTCTTGGTTTTTGCCAGGGAAAAAAGAGACTGGATGTATTACCCAAACGGTTCAATTACCCAAACATTCCAAGACATGGTTAGTGACAAGGGAGTCAACATTGTACAGTTCACAGTCACAGACCGCGAGAAAAGACATGAAAGGAAAATACTTTTGTCTGCGGTTGTGAGGTTCAAGGCTTCAGGAATGACTGATATGGCTGATTATGTTCAGCTGATGTTGCATGTGTCATAATCAATTGGCTAACACCTCTCAGATTATCTGATGATGGGGCAAGCTGATATACGGAGGTACTAAAGCAAACATGAAAGGTAAGCAGGTGAGTTTCAACTTGCTTTTGAGGTTCCGAAACATTTTGTCAAAAGTGTTTTTTCTCTCATTCTACTTCAAGAAAGAAAAGAGTGAGGCAAGTGCATGCCCCATGCAACATGTTCTAAAATGAAATATGAAGGTGAAGATGAAAACTAAGCAAGAGAGAAGGAAAAAGAGAATAAAGTATCTACCAGTGCCTCTCACCATCTAACTTTAAGAGGTTAAGCTCTCTACTGTTATATTACAGCGGTACACCAAATTGAAATGCTAGAAGTGTAGACATCTTGTTGAATGAAATAACATGTTGCATTCTACACAGAAGAGGTCTTGGTCTTGGACTAAATCTCAGTATGAAACTTTCTGTAGCCTTTATAACAGGGATGGGCAACTTCAGTCCTCGAGGGGCTGATTGGTGACACACTTTTGCCCCAGCCCAAGCAAACACACGTGACTCCGATACATAATCAACTAATCATGGTCTACAATTTAGAATGCAATTAGTTTCATGCTTAGTGCTATCCAGAATCATTGGGACGTCCCTACCCTAACCCTAACCTTAAACCCTACCCTTACCCTAAACCTAACCATAACTCTTACCTAGCCCTAACCCTAGGGTTGCAACATTCCGGGAACTTTCAATCCCCTGGTTTTCCAGATATCCTGGTTGGAGGACTTCCTGCTCCTTCCCCACTCATTCCTGGAATCCTCCAACCGGGATTTTGTGGAAACCAGGGAATTGAATGAAGTTCCCTACCTAAATTTACCTAACCATAACATTAATCCTTACCTTGCATCTGTTATACCAAGTAAATTGTACAGGCGCTAACCTACATATCTTCATTTGACCTACAGTGAATTCGGAAAGTATTCAGACCCCTTGACCTTTTCCACATTTTGTTACGTTACACCCATATTCTAAAATGGATTAAATTGTTTTCTTCCTTCATCAATCTACACACAATACCTGATAATGACAAAGCAAAATCAGGTTGTTAGAAATGTTTGCTATGTATAAAAAAATAATAATAATACCTTATAAGTATTCAGACCCTTTGCTATGAGACATAAAATTGAACTCCTATTTCCATTGATCATCCTTGAGATGTTTCTACAACTTGATTGGAGTCCACCTGTGTTAAATTCAATTGACTGGACATTATTTGGAAAGGCACACACCTGTCTATATAAGATCCCACAGTTGACAGTGCATGTCAGAGCAAAAACCAAGCCATGAGGTCAAAGGAATTGTCCGTAGAGCTCCGAGACAGGATTGTGTCGAGGCACAGATCTGAGGAAGGATAACAAAAAATGTCTGCAGCATTGAAGGTCCCCAAGAACACAGTGGCCTCCATCATTCTTAAATGGAAGAAGATTGGAACCACCAAGAATCTTCCTAGAGCTGGCCGCCCGGCCAAACTGAGCAATCAGGGGAGAAGGGCCTTGGTCAGGGAGGTGACCAAGAACCCAATGGTCACTCTGACAGAGCTCCAGAGTTCCTCTGTGGAGATGGGTAGAGTTTGCAAAAAGGCACCTAAAGACTCTCAGACCATGAGAAACAAGATTCTCTGGTCTGATGAAATTAAGATGTAACTCTTTGTCCTGAATGCCAAGTGTCACGTCTGGAGGAAACCTAAACCATATCTACGTTGAACCATGGTGGTGACAGCATCATGCTGTGGGGATGTTTTTCAGCAGCGGGGACTGGGAGACTAGTCAGGATCGAGGGAAAGATGAACGGAGCAAAGTACAGAGAGATCCTTGATGAAAACCTACTCCAGAGTGCTCAAGACCTCAGACCAGGGCGAAGGTTCACCATCCAACAGGACAACGACCCTAAGCACACAGCCAAGATAACGCAGGAGTGGCTTCGGGACAAGTCTCTGAATGTCCTTGAGTTGCCCAGCCAGAGCCCAGACTTGAACCGGATCGAACATCTCTGGAGAGACCTGAAAATAGCTGTTCAGCGACGCTCTCCATCCAACCTGATAAATCTTGAGACGATCTACAGAGAAGAATGGTAGAAACTCCCCAAATACAGTTGTGCCAAGCTTGTAGTGTCATACCCAAGAAGACTCGAAGCTGTAATCGCTGTCAAAGGTGCTTCACCAAAGTACTGAGTAAAAGGCTTATTGTGTGTTGATTGATGAGGGAAAAAAAACATTTCATCAATTTTAGAATAAGGCTGTATTTGATTTGAACGTTTAGTCCATAATGTTTCTTGATAAGTGCTTGGGCTATTAGCTGGCCAAACGTAGACTACATGAAAAGTGCAATAATGTTAATATAAAGATGTGTTAGTGTGGGTTTTCAGTGAATTTACGTATATCACGAAGCTCATCTGCAAGCTCATCTGCATCAGCAACAAAAAAAGTGATCAAATTATAATCCTACATTGGCTTGCGAAAGTATTCACCACCCTTGGCATTTTTCCTATTGTATTGCCTTACAACCTGGAATAAAAAAATGTTTTTGGGGGGGTTGTATCATTTGATTTACACAACATGCCTACGACTTTGTAGATGCAAAATATTCTTTATTGTGAAACAAACAAAAAAGAAGAAGAAAAAAAAAGTATCTTGGGGTATGTCTCTATAAGCTTGGCACATCTAGCCACTGGGATTTTGCTCCAGCTCCTTCAAGTTGGATGGGTTCTGCTGGTGTACAGCAATCTTTATGTCATACCACAGATTCTCAATTGGATTGAGGTCTGGGCTTTGATAATGCCATTCCAAGACATATACATTTTTTACCCTTAAACCACTCAAGTGTTGCTTTAGCAGTATGTTTAGGGTCATTGTCCTGCTGGAAGGTGAACCTCCATCCCAGTCTCAAATCTCCGGAAGACAAACAGGTTTCCCTCAAGAATTTCCCTGTATTTAGCGCCATCCATCATTCCTTAAATTCTGGTCAGTTTCCCAGTCCCTGTCAATGAAAAACATCCCCACAGCATGATGCTGCCACCACCATGCTCCACTATGGGGATGGTGTTCTCGGGGTGATGGGTTTGCGCCAGACATAGCGTTTTCCTTGATGGCCAAAAAGCTAAATTTTAGTCTCATCTGACCAGAGTACCTTCTTCCATATGTTTGGGGAGTCTCTCACATGCATTTTGGAGAACACCAAACGTGTTTGCTTATTTTTTTCTTTAAGCAATGGCTTTTTTCTGGCCACTCTTCCGTAAAACCCAGCTCTGTGGAGTCTACGGCTTGAAGTGGTCCTAAAGACAGATACTCCAATCTCCACTGTGGAGCTTTGCAGCTCCTTCAGGGTTATCTTTGGTGTCTGTGTTGCCTCTCTGATTAATGCCCTCATTGCCTGCTCTGTGAGTTTTGGTGGGCGGCCCTCTCTTGGCAGGTTTGTTGTGGTGACATATTCTTTCAATTTTTTAATAATGGATTTAATGGTTCTCGTGGGATGTTCAAAGTTTCTGATATATTTTTTTAACCCAACCCTGATCTGTTTGGCGAGCTCCTTTGTCTTCATGGTGCCGCTTGCTTGGTGGTGCCCCTTGCTTAGTGGTGTTTCAGACTCTGGTGTATATATACTGAGATCATGTGACAGATCATGTGACCCTTAGATTGCACACGGGTGGACTATATTTAACAAATTATGTGACTTCTGAAGGTAATTGGTTGGGCCAGATCTTATTTAGGGGCTCATAGCAAAGGCGGTGAATACATATGCACGCACCACTTTTCCGTTATTTATTTTTTTAGAATTTTTTGAAACAAGTAATTTTTAATGGACATCACCAATATTTTGTGTATGTCCATTACATGAAATCCAAATAGAAATCCATTTAAATTACAGGTTGTAATGCAACAAAATAGGAAAAACGCCAAGGGGGATGAATACTTTTGTAAGGCAATGTATATCTGTAACTATGTCGTTTGATCACCTTTTATCTGTGAAACATATCAGTCCGCACAGTGAGTTCAATTTGATCATAGTAATAACTGTTGATTTACTGCACCTGGCGCTGAGCTGATTGCAGGAGAATGGTGTGCTGTCCTGAATGTTGATTATTAAAGAAATGTCTTCCATACTATAGATTTTTTCCCCCTTGATACACTGTAATATCCTTCAACATAAAAGTGTAAAATCAAGAATGCAATGAAACATACATACGCCATATATTCAAAAGTATGTGGACACCCCTTCAAATTAGTGGATCGGCTATTTGAGCCACACCCGTTGCTGACAGGTGTATAAAATCGAGCAAACAGCCATGCAATCTCCGTAGAACATTGGCAGTAGAATGGCCTTACAGAATAGCAAAGTGACTTTCAACTTGGCATCATAGTAGGATGCCACCTTTCCAACAAGTCAGTTCGTCAAATTTCTGCCCTGCTAGAGCTGCCCGGGTCAACTGTAAATGTTAATGTGAAGTGGAAATGTCTAGGAGCAACAACGGCTCAGACGGGAAGTGGTAGGCCACACAAACTCACAGAACGGGACCGGCGAGTGCTGAAGCATGTAGCGCGTAAAACAGCCTCTGGAAGCAACGTCAGCACAAGAACTGTTCGTCGGGAGCTCCATGAAATGGGTTTCCATGGCCAAGCAGCCACACACAAGCCTAATATCACCATGCGCAATGCCAAGCGTCGGCTGGAGTGGTGTAAAGCTCGCCGCCATTGGACTCTGGAGCAGTTGAAACACGTTCTCTGGAGTGATGAATCAAGCTTCACCATCTGGTAGTCCGATGGACGAATCTGGGTTTGGCAGATGTCAGGAGAACGCTATCTGCCCGAATGCTTAGTGCCAACTGTAAAGTTTGGTGGAGTAGGATTAATGGTCTGGGGCTGTTTTTCATGGTTCGGGCTAGGCCCCTTAGTTTCAATGAAGTGAAATATTAACGATACAGCATACAGTTACATTCTAAACAATTCTGTGATTCCAACTTTGTGGCAAGATTTTGGGTAAGGCCCTTTCCTGTTTCAGAATGACAATGGCCCCGTGCACAAAGCGAGGTCCATACAGAAATGGTTTGTCAAATCGGTGTGGAAGAACTTGACTGGCCTGCACAGAGCCCTGACCTCAACCACATCAAACACCTTTGGAATGAATTGGTATCCCGTCTGTGAGCCAGGCCTAATCGCCCAACATCAGTGCTCAACCTCACTAATGCTCGTGGCTGAATGGAAGCAAGTCCCCGCAGCAATGTTCCAACGTCTTGTGGAAAACCTTCCCAGAAGAATGCAGGCTGTTATAGCAGCAAAGGGGAGACTAACTCAATATTAATGCCCATGATTTTGTAATGCGATGTTCAACAAGCAGGTGTCCACATACTTATGTTCATGTAGTGTATTTTAAATATAGCTGAACATTATGTGAATGAGTGCCTAATACAAACACTATTCTTACATACTATTTCTTAAATCCTTGAAATAAACTGTTGAATGACTGACACTATATGGAGCATGAGAGAATGGCCTGTCCTAAACAATTTAAGAGGATCAACTGAGCATGTCTCCCTATTCTCAGAAAGAAGGAAAGCAATAGTCATATTGCAAATAGTAATATTAATGCAAAGACTTCTAAACAGGTGTCCTTTAGCCAGGTAAATGTGAATGTGAATGGAGAAGGCCTGAGAAAGTAGAAGCCATATAACAAATCAAATTTATTCATAAAGCTTTTTTTACACAAGCAGATGTCACAAAGTGCATATACAGAAACCCAGCCTAAAACCCTAAACAGCAATCAATGCAGATGTAGAAGCACGGTGTCTAGGAAAAACTCCCTAGAAAGGCAGGAACCTAGGAAGAAACCTAGAGAGGAACTAGGCTCTGAGGGGTGGCCAGTCCTCTTCTGGTGGAGATTATAAGAGAACATGCCACTAAGGCCAGATGGTTCGTCAAGATGTTAAAATTTTCAAAGATGACAAGCAGGGTCAAATTATAATCACAGTGGTTGTAGAGGGTGCAACAGGGCAGAGGCCGAGCATTCAGAGGTCGAGACAGCAGGTGCGGGAGAGAGACAGAGAGAGAGAGAGAGAGAGAGAGAGAGAGAGAGAGAGACATAGAGACATAGAGACAGAGAGACAGAGAGAGAGGGAGAGAGAGAGAGAGAGAGAGAGAGAGAGAGAGAGAGAGAGAGAGAGAGAGAGAGAGTCGAAAACAGAAGGTCCGGGACAAGGTAGCACGTCCGGTCCCCAGGCCAGGTAGTCTTGAGGCATGGTACGAGGTCTCAGGTCCTCCGGGAGAGGAGGGAGAGAGAGAGGGAGAGAGAGAGAGAGGCAGTCATGCAGATGAACAGCTCCTGACTTGTTATAACTTTCTGGTTGTTAAGAGTGAGATTTACTAAAAAAAATCCCAAAAAATATATAGGTAATCAAATTGTACAACTGAAGATCAACACAGGAGGAAAAGATCGACAGAGTGTGAGTTAAAAGACCAATCTTAGTCGTGCTAGCTAGCCAAATTCTAATTTGTCAGCTAGCTCACGTCTAGCTCCAATTGTTTACTGGTGTTAACCATAGCAACATGGCCGCTGAGGCAGCGATAGCAGCAGCAGCAGCGACTGAGTGACTTTCCCCCCATTTTTTTGAATTTCCAGCAGAAATCAAATCAGAGAAGGGAAGAATCAATTTTAAACACAGAATTCTGAGGGAGAACCTGGAAACTTGGTTTGCCGACTGCTCACACAACAGGACTGTTACCAACCTGTTATTTTACACAGACCACACTACTCCCTGGCATACAGCTGTAACGAGGCATTTCAGCTATACAACAAAGAAATGCATTTGCAAGGGAAGGCAAATCCATTTTTGAGACAGCGAAAAGGACCAGGTAAACAGGTTTCTGACAGTAAACATGTACCAGAATGGCACTGTCCAGGGCAGTGAGGCTGCACTCAGCTCTTTTGTGCATGACTGCACCACCCTAAGGAAGATAGCGGAAACGAAAAAGGACAAGGACAGCACCCCAACCTCTCCCCTCACCTCAGGCACTCCAACAGCAGGAGATCAGGCCCAGAACCACACAACAGGTCTGTCCTCCCCCCTGCCTGCCTACGACCACCAGAGCCAAGACCACACTACCATCAGCCTGCTGAGAGACATGCTGGCTCTGTTAGAGGTATGGGTTACTGAGCTAAAGGAGCAGCCCTGCAGCTACACCACCTCCAGCCCAGACACAGAGCTTCTACCAGATCAACCAGTGCAGGAGCCAGATGAAGAACTTGTCCAGGAGCTGAGAGAGAGCCTCACCGTAGAGCTTGAGGAGGTAAAGGCCACCATGAGGAGAGAGCTGGTGCAGGTAAAGGAGGAGATGTCAAAGGAGTTGTCTGTCATCAAGAGGGTGCTGTAGCATAGAGAACAGACTGTAGAGACCCCTAGAGAGAAGCTGCAGTGCCTCACCACCCCTAACACCCCCACTGACCCACCCTCACCCCCAACCCCCCCCCATACCAACCACCCTTTCACAACACCAGTCAACAAGGAGGCTCACATGGGGACACCTACTACAGAGAGAAGCTCTCTGCCCCCCCCTGACACACCCCCACACACCCCTCCTTGTACACAGGCCCTGTGTACCCCAGCCCCAGCCCCACACCGTAAACCCACTACTCTGGTAAAACCCACTGAGGTGGCCATCCTCATTGACTCAAATGGTAAATTCATCCAAGAGGATAAACTCTTCCCCCACCACAAGGTGTCCAAAATATGGTGCCCAAAAACGCAGCATGCACTCCACATCCTGTCCCAGCCTGACTTTGGCACACCAGGCCACATTATTATTCACACCGGCACCAACAACCTGCGAGAGGAGCAGGAGAGAGTAGGCAGCCTGGTCAACAGAGTAGCAGAGAGGGCCTCTGAGTGGGTCCCCAACTCCCACATCACCATCTCCACTCTGCTGCCCTGCAAAGGCTTTCATCCCCGTACCATTCAGAAAGTCAACGCTGACATCACCAGAGGGTGTGGCCTACTCTCGAATGTGCACGTTGCTCACCACCCAACAATCACCCAAGAGCATCTGCATGACCACTCCCACCTGAGGAAGCAGACAGTAGGGATGTTTGCCAAGTCTCTAAAGGACGTGGCACTTGGTAGACAAACACCCCATGTCACACTGGACAGAGGACCACCCAGAGACCCCTACCAGACCACTGCACCACCAAGGAGCCCCAGGCCCCCTCAACACGCCACCAGACTCAGCGCACCCCACAGGCCCCACCCACCACCAGAGCATCACTACTTCCATCGGCTTAGCCAGACTGGACCGGGCTCAGCCTACTATCCCGCAGCAAAATCCTTTTCTACCAGACCAGAGAGGAAGCCCCAGACCTGGCCCCCCTCCACTGGGCCCATCAGCAGGACCAGCGCAGCTACGCGGAATATTTATATATATATAACAGATTAAATGTTTGCTGTTTATCTCACTCTTAACAACTTAGTAGTTAGTGGTTACTGTATTTTTAACTGTGCTGTTCTTTCTTTTTGCAACATGAAATCGCTATATGTTACTATGTGGAACATTCAGGGCCTAAACTCATCAACCTTTGGACTGAAGAGTTTAGCACTGGAGTTTAAAAAAAATCGTAAAGATGTTGACGTCATCATTCTGCAGAAAACATGGTGTAAGGCAAACATTGTCACTCACTGTCCCACATGCTACAGAGAGGTAATTGTGCCGTCACAGAAACACAGCTCTGTCAATAGGGACAGAGACTCTGGAGGATTGATCATTTGGTACAAATACGAACTACAAAATCGAATTGATCCCCTCAAAATTGGTAATTATCACATTTGGTTAAAACTGAAAAAATAACTTGTACTGACAGAAAAATATGTGTTCCTTTGCGCAATATATATCCCCCCCCTCAGAATCCCCATATTACTAAGAGGAGATATTCCCCACCCTTGAGGAAGAGACGTGCCATTTCCAGGCCCAGGGAAATGTGCTCATCTGTGGGGACACAAAAGCGCGCACAGGAACACTACCTGATCTAATGACCACACGATGGGACAGCTTTGTTACAGGCCATACTGTTTCTAAATGTCTTAATCTCTCCCATAGAAACAACAGTGACAGCACCATCAACAAAAACAGAAGTGATCTGTTGCAGCTCTGTCGAAGCCTCGGTTTGTACTTTGTCAATGCTAGGTTACGGGGGACTCTTTGGGGATATTCACCTATTGCTCACAGCACAGTAGACAGACATTTACTCAAGACATGATTACAGACATTGACCATTTCTCTCTCAGCTCATTCACCGTCAAGCCACCAAAATGTCTTGAGTAAAAGCCAAATTGGATATATAAACATGTCCACCAAAATAATAACAAAATGTACACTTGCTTTATCGACTTCCAAAAGCATTTAATTGTATTTGGCATACAGGACTGTTCTACAAAGTTATTGAAAGTGGTGTAGGGTGTAAAACATATGACATAATTAAATCAATACTGGCAATACGTGCAGCATCAAAATTGGCATGAAAAGAACAGAATTCTTTAACCAGCGGCTGGGCCTTCGCCAGGGTTGCAATCTGAGCCCTGCACTTTTCAATATTTACATCAACAAATTGGCCACTATATAAAAATCCTCAGCCCCTGGTGTTAGTCGCCACAATTCAGAGCTTAAATGCCTGCTCTTCGCAGATGACCTAAAGTGAGGGAAAAAAATATTTGATCCCCTGCTGATTTTGTACATTTGCCCACTGACAAAGATATGATCAGTCTATAATTTTAATGGTCGGTTTATTTGAACAGTGAGAGACAGAATAACAACAAAAATATCCAGAAAAACGCATGTAAAAAATGTTATAAATTGATTTGCATTTTAATGAGGGAAATAAGTATTTGACCCCTCTGCAAAACATGACTTAGTACTTGGTGGTAAAACCATTGTTGGCAATCACAGAGGTCTGTGACGTACGTTAAGGAACGGGACGGACCAAGGTGCAGCGTGAACGGCGAACATGTTTATTAACTAATAAACACACAAAACAGTAACCAAAACAACAAACTTAACCGTGACGGTCCAAAGGCTAACACACAAGCCTAAACATGAACATAACAAAATCCCACAACGCAGGCAGGAAAACTGGTTGCCTAAGTATGAACCCCAATCAGCGACAGCTGCCTCTGATTGGGAACCACACCCGGCCAAACATAGAAATACAAACCTATAATATATTCACACCCTGACCAAACTAGCTAGAGTTCTATAGGCCAGGGCGTGACAGTACCCCCCCCCCCCCAAAGGTGCGGACTACTGACTGAATCGGGGAGGGTCTTGGTGGGCTTCCAGCCTCAGTGGCGGCTCCGGCTCCGGCTCCGGAGTTGAGCCGCTGACCGGAGCTGGATCAGGCACCGGTGGAGCAGACTGCACTGGCTCCGGAGTGGAGCCGCTGACCGGTGCCGGACCAGGAACCGATGGAACGGGCACGGGCCGTGCCGGACTGGCGACGCACACCACTGGCTTGGTGCGAGGAGCAGGAACAGGTCGTGCCGGACTGGCGACGCGCACCACTGGCTTGGTGCGAGGAGCAGGAACAGGCCGGGCCGGACTGGTGACGCGCACCACTGGCTTGGTGCAAGGAGCAGGAACAAGCAGGGCCGGACTGGCGACGCGCACCACAGGCTTGGTGCGAGGAGAAGGAACAGGCCGGGCCGGACTGGCGACGCGCACCACCGGCTTGGTGCGAGGAGAAGGAACAGGCAGGGCCGGACTGGCGACGCGCACCACCGGCTTGGTGCGAGGAGCAGGAACAGGCCGGGCCGGACTGGCGACGCGCACCACCGGCTTGGTGCGAGGAGCAGGAACAGGCCGGCCGGACTGGCGACACGCACCACCGGCTTGGTGCGAGGAGCAGGAACAGGCCGGGCCAGACTGGCGACGCGCACTACCGGCTTGGTGCGAGGAGCAGGAACAGGCCAGGCCGGACTGGGATCACGCACCACTGTCTTGGTGCGGGGAGCAGGTACGGGGCGTACCGGACTGGGAACCGGCACTGGAGGTCTATGACTGTCTCCGTCCTTTACACTCCGCGCCCCGTCCTCCTCCAGTGAGGACTCCTCCTTGAGCCCCCACGAGTGCAGTGGTCGGGGCTCCTCTCTGTCGCTCCCCGACCACCCTTTTAGCCCCCCCCAAAAAAAATATTGGGGCTATCTCTCCACCCTGATCCCTTTCAGGGCCTCCATCTTTCTTGCCAGATCCTCTCTTATCTCCCGCCAAGTCCATCCTCTCTGCTCCTCTTCGGCACACTGCTTGGTCCAGGTCTGGTGGGATTTTCTGTCACGTACGTTAAGGAACGGGACGGACCAAGGTGCAGCGTGAACGGCAAACATGTTTATTAACAAATAAACACACCAAACACTAACCAAAACAACAAACTTAACTGTGACGGTCCAAAGGCTAACACACAAGCCTAAACATGAACATAACAAAATCCCACAACGCAGGCAGGAAAACTGGTTGCCTAAGTATGATCCCCAATCAGAGACAACGAGCGACAGCTGCCTCTGATTGGGAACCACACCCGGCCAAACATAGAAATACAAACCTAGAATATATTCACACCCTGACCAAACTAGCTAGAGTTCTATAGGCCAGGGCGTGACAAGGTCAGACGTTTCTTGTAGTTGGCCACCACATTTGCACACATCTCAGGAGGGATTTTGTCCCACTCCTCTTTGCAGATCTTCTCCAAGTCATTAAGGTTTCGAGCCTGACGTTTGGCAACTCGAACCTTCAGCTCCCTCCACAGATTTTCTATGGGATTAAGGTCTGGAGACTGGCTAGGCCACTCCAGGACCTTAATGTGCTTCTTCTTGAGCCACTCCTTTGTTGACTTGGCTGTGTGTTTTGGGTCATTGTCATACTGGAATACCCATCCACGACCCATTTTCAATGCCCTGGCTGAGGGAAGGAGGTTCTCACCCAAGATTTGACGGTACATGGCCCCGTCCATCATCCCTTTGATGTGGTGAAGTTGTCCTGTCCCCTTAGCAGAAAAACACCCCCAAAGCATAATGTTTCCACCTCCATGTTTGACGGTGGGGATGGTGTTCTTGGGGTCATAGGCAGCATTCCTCCTCCTCCAAACACGGCGAGTTGAGTTGATGCCAAAGAGCTCAATTTTGGTCTCATCTGAGCACAAAACTTTCACCCAGTTCTCCTCTGAATCATTCAGATGTTCATTGGCAAACTTCAGACGGGCCTGTATATGTGCTTTCTTGAGCAGGGGGACCTTGCGGGCGCTGCAGGATTTCAGTCCTTCACGGCGTATCGTGTTACCAATTGTTTTCTTGGTGACTATGGTCCCAGCTGCCTTGAGATCATTGACAAGATCCTCCCGT